ACCCTGAGCCCACCCCAGGACCGATTACTTCAGGGTTTCCATCGAACCCGGGACTGCATCCAGCATTATGGCCACTGGCTGCCTCTCGGTGTTGCCTGCACCCTGCATTTGCCCGCTCTTTTTTGTTTTTTTTTTTGTTCTTTTTCTTTTTTCGCGCCCCCTTGCCGTGGAGCACAGGTCTCATGGGTTAGTCGGGTCTACGGAAGGTGGTGAACTCTCAAACGCGCAGAGTACCTGGTTAGAGGGGCAGCCCCGCTGTGTGGGCAGAAGGGTAGGCATGGACGGGAGGGAGCCGGGCTTTGGTGGTCCACGGGCTACCCCAGGCTGGACCTGTGTTTCTCCCCTGCCAGGCTGTTCTCTGCTGGAGCGCAGAAGGGTGCCACCTTTCCCAGATTGCTGGCCGATCGGCATCCACGTGAGCGCGCCTGCACCCCCAATCCCGACCCCTGCTCTTCAGCAGAAGGGTCCTCCGGCTGCCAGACCCACACATCCTCCCCCCTCTTTGTGCGCCCCTAGCTCTTAAGCTGGGGTTCACGCACTTTTCCACAAATGTCCCCTTGGCCACCCTTCTGGTCTGCTCCTTGAGGTCTCACTGGGTCTTAGAGAATGCGTGGCAAAAGCGAGTACCCATGAGCTTTTAATAATAATCATGGGAGGGCTGGGCGCTGTGGCTCACGCCTGTAATCCTAGTCTTGGGAGGCCGAGGCGGGCGGGATTGCTCAAGGTCAGGAGTTCAAAACCAGCCTGAGCAAGAGCGAGACCCCGTCTCTACTATAAATAGAAAGAAATTAATTGGCCAACTGTATATATATAAAAATTAGCCGCGCATTGGTGGCGCATGCCTGTAGTCCCAGCTACCTGGGAGGCTGAGGCAGAAGGATTGCACTCGAGCCCAGGATTTGAGGTTGCTGCTGAGCGGTAGGCTGCGCCACGGCACTCCACTCATAGGCCTGGGGCAACAAAGCGGAGCTCTGTCTCAAAAAAAAGAAAAAAAAAAAAAAAAAAAAAAATAATCATGGGAGGTCGGGCGCAGTGGCTCACGCTTGTAATCCTAGCACTTTGGGAGGCCAAGGCGGGTGGATCGCTCACGGTCAGGAGTTTGAAAGCAGCCTGAGCAAGTGCAAGACCTCGTCTCTACTAAAAATAGAAAGAAAGTAATTGGCCAATTAAAAATATATACAAAAAATTAGCCGGGCATGGTGGCACATGCCTGTAGTCCCAGCTACTTGGGAGGCTAAGGCAGAAGGATCGCTTGAGCTCAGGAGTTTGAGGTTGCTGTGAGCTAGGCTGACGCCATGGCACTCACTCTAGCCTGGGCAACAAAGTGAGACTCTGTCTCAAAAAAAAAAAAAAAAAAAAAAAAAAAAATCATGGGATCCAGCAAGGAAAGACCCTGAGTCCTGAAACACCTAAGGCCCTCAGCCTGGCCCATTTCCATTCCCCCATCCTTTTGGGTCAGACTGAGCTGACTGCCTCAGAATTCTCCAACCTCACAAAGAAACTTCTCTCCCAGGTTTTCCTCATACCTATAACAGCAGGGTTGTGACACTGGGCCACTGGTCCTAGCAGACACCTGCCTTTCCCCGTTAAGTTTCTTGCATCAGGGCACCCAGTCTCTTGGGAAACATCATTGAAACAAATTGAAGGTTAAGGGTACATTAAATAAGAAAAATTATAAAGACAGGAAGACTGGTAAATTGAAGAGGGAGGAAAGGAAACTTGGGATGTTGGTCAAATGTCCCCATAGTAGAACTATTTAGAGAGAGCTAAAGGAAGGAACAAAGAATTGTCCTCACTGAGTCTTTTTTTTTTTTTTTGAAGTTTCTTTTAAATTTTATTTTATATACAAAGAGCTACTAGCATGGTCTCTTTCACTTTGTGGGTGCCGTGGAAAATCCATTCAAAGAAGATCACTTAGTCCAACTTAATGAAACCGATGTCCTTCGAGTACCGACGGAAACACTGGCGGCACATATTGAGCCGTATTTCCGGATCAGACCGTGCGGGTTTAAGCAGACGCACAGAACGCCCCCTCCCCAGTGCATCTCCACCCTGCTGATGCTGGTCACCAGCGACATGTACACACTCATCAACTACGTGGGCTTCATCAACTACCTCTTCTATGGGGTCACGATTGCTGGACAGATAGTCCTTCGCTGGAAGAAGCCTGATCTCCCCCGCCCCATCAAGGTGAGAGACCTCCCTTGGGGGTCCACTCCCCTTCCTCTATGGTTCATATTTTTAAATCGCCTCTGTTCTTAGCTACTGACCACAGACCATCATCTCATCCTTTGGGAAGCAAGGACCATGTGCGAATGGGACAGCCACGTCCATTCTCCATGGGGAACAGGGCCACAGCAAATTGCAGCTGGGGAATAAGATTAAATGTCACTTTCGTCATGTCATTCCTTTCTTTCCTACTACTCTAAGTCTTAAACTCCAACTGAGGCCGGGCCCAGTGGCGCATGCCTGTAATCCTAGCACTCTGGGAGGCCGAGGTGGGCAGATTGCTCGAGGTCAGGAGTTCAAAACCAGCCTGAGCAAGAGTGAGACCTCGTCTCTACTAAAAATAGAAACAAATTAATTGGCCAGCTAAAAATATATAGAAAAAATTAGCCGGGCATGGTGGCACATGCCTGTAGTCCCAGCTACTCGGGAGGCTGAGGCAGCAGGATCGCTTGACCCCAGGAGTTTGAGGTTGCTGTGAGCTAGGCTGACTCCACGGCACTCACTCTACCCTGGGCAACAAAGCGAGACTCTGTCTCAAAACAAACAAACAAAAAAAATCCTCCCTGTGGGGAAGAATTGAGAGGATGCCCGGAGCATGGGGCTGCGGGACCACATAGCTCACAGTGCCTCCGCTCCACAGATCAACCTGCTGTTCCCCATCATCTACTTGCTGTTCTGGGCCTTCCTGCTGGTCTTCAGCCTGTGGTCGGAGCCGGTCGTGTGCGGCACCGGCCTGGCCATCATGCTGACAGGAGTGCCCGTCTATTTCCTGGGTGTTTACTGGCAAAACAAGCCCAAGTGTTTCAATGACTTCATTGGTGAGTTGTTGGAGGCTCTGGGGTGGCTAGAGGAATGGCGTGGGCAGTGACGGGGCGGGCGCACCACCAGGATCAGGAGGCCTAGGCTCACCTTCCCCTGAGTCCACAGAGCTCTGGAGAAGGAGCTGGGCTGAGGAAAGGCAGATGTCTTCCCAGAGACCTCTGAGGGGTTTCCACGCGGACCTTGGAGCCGCAGGCACAGGCGACCTGTGAGCCCCCCTGCAGGAGCCACCCCAGGCTGGGTGGAGACCCACAGAGACTCTGGAATTGGGGTCAGCAAGCATAGGGAAGGCGGAAGGCTGGGCCTGGTGAGGGAGGGGCAGCTGGCAGAAGATGCAGAAGGCAGAGGAGGTGGCTGTCTCCTGGAAAGGTGGCTGTCTCCTGGAAAGAGGAGGTGGCTGTCTCCAAAAGGCATTGACGGCTGAGGCCACACCTGGGGTGGGAAAGCTGGGAAGGGCCATGGCCTGGTGGTTGGCCAGGCTGGCGGGATGCTCAGCACCGACCTGGTTTCTGCGTGATCTCCTTCCACAGAGTTGCTAACCCTGGTGAGCCAGAAGATGTGTGTGGTCGTGTACCCCGAGGCAGAGAGGGGCTCAGGGACAGAGGGGACAAGTGATGACATGGAGGAGCAGCGGCAGCCCATCTACCAACCCACTGCCACCAAGGACAAGGACTTGGCGGGGCAGCCCCAGCCCTGAGGACTGCTGTCCCTCAGTAGCTACTCCCCCCTTCATCCCCTTCCTGCCTGCCTTCCCTGCCTGGGTCCCCCCAACACACACACACACACACACACACACACACACACACACACACACATGCACGCACCTCTTTGCTTCTGTCAGGCAGGGCAGGACCTGGGTGTGGGTGGTGAGAAATTATCAACAAAGACACTGACATTTGTACCCAAAGAACCTGCCTCTCACCCCAGTGCTGCCCACACTCAGCTGTTAGAGAGGAATGGAGATGCTGAGGGCACCCGTAGGCCCTCCCTCCAGGCCGCAGCCTCAGCTGCCTCCTCAGGAACCGAGTTCACCACTGCCTTCCCTCCTCCTGAGCCCAGGGAGGCCTCGGTTCAGAGAGCAGTGGCAGCCACAGTGAGTTGGCTGGGGGTGGGGGGGAACAGACTCAAGGAAATATACAATCAGTAAGGGTTGACTGGAGAGACCCAAACCCCTCTCTGTCCACCAGGGGCCCAAAGTCAGGGGGGATGCTACCCTCTGCCCTCTTTCCCCCACTCCCGCCCTACCTCCACCCGCCCCAGCCTGGACTCCCTGTCAGAGTAAGGCTCCTTTCAGGGCAACGGCTCCCCACTGAGAAGGGACCAAGGAGAAGGAGAGCTGCCCAACCCCTCCCCTCAGGCCAGGCCTGTGGAATGGATTGAGAAAGGCTCGGACTGCAGAGACCCAGCCCTGCCCCTGCCCCCTGCCTCCTGCCCCAACATGGTGCCAAAGCTTCTGGAAGCCAGAAAGTCTTGTTACTCTTAATGTAGTGGACATCTCTCTCCTGGTGACAAAGCAGCTCAGCAGCTCCCCACCCTAGGGAAGGAACAGTCACCCTGTCAGCCCTGCAGCCACAACCCAGCATTCCCTGAGCCTGCGCTGCTGGCCACCCCCACCAGGCCTCGTCCTCCTCTCTGGACCTTGGCTCAGGGACTGGGTGTGAAGGATCCCCAAGCCCTTCAGGCCTCAAATCAGAGCCAAATTAGCCTTAAATCGCCCCCCCAACCCCCTCTGGTCCAAGAACTGGGCCTAAAAATACTCCCTTATTTCTAACCCTCAGGACAGACCTGGCATTAAATGCCTCCCCTGGCAGGAAGGGTACTTTCCCACCTCCCCAGAGGGGCCCATTCCACGTCCTCAGAGACCAACCAACCGACCGTGTGGGGGGAGCCTGGTTTCCAAAGGCCAGTTCCCCACCCCTCCCCCAACTTGTATAGCCCCTCCCTCCTCTCCAGTCCTACCACCAGCCTGTCTTGGGACAGGATGGGAGGGCAGTGGCAGGATGGCCCCCACTCCGGAGACCCTCAGAAAGGCCCCCTGTGGTATGAGGCCTTCTGACTGTCCCCTGTGCTCCAGAGGAAGCCTCCCCAGCCACACCCGCTGTGCTAAGGACACAGAGCAGGATTCTCTCTGCGCCCCACCCTGCATTCTGTCTGCTTAAACTGGAGAGCCCAGGACCCCTCCTGGCGCAGGTCATGTCCCCCAGCTCCCTGCCCGGCTCTCCTGCCCCACAGGTGGTGCAATGCCGAGTTATGGCCCCTTCCATGTAGAACCAGGCAGGCTGAGTTGGCCCTGGAGGGTCAGGGGACCATCTTCCTGTTCCTTCCCATTCCTCCAACCTCCTCACCTCCTTCAATTATTATTTTTTTGTAAAGTGGATGCCTTACTTTTTGGATAAATATTTTTGAAGCTAGCGTTTCTATTTCTTTCAGATTTTTAATGTAAGGTGGTTTTGGGGGGTGGACTGAGTTAGAACCTTGATAATTTCTGTCTTTAACTTGGTTTAGAGTTTTAGAGTTTCGTTTGTTTGTTTTGTGGAGAGTTTTTTTTTTTTCTTTTGATGTAATAAAATTTTAAATGGAAATGAAGTTTGTGGCGTTGGTAATTAAGTCAACATCTGAGACAGGAATCACCAGGCATTTCGGGTGCCTTCCAGGATGGCATTCCTGAAAGCCGTGTTCTCCTTGGCTTCCACTATCCAGTCCTCAGTGCCAGCACCTTCAAACAACTCTCTCTTTGAACCAAAAACACTGTCAAAAGACAAAATTGCAACAAATTTAGTTTAAAGATCTCATTGGCTTTATTCACAATTCCAGAATCAGGCAACACCTCATTCCACACAATAGAGTAAGTGTTCTCATGAGAGACAGAATAGAAAATAACTGATAAGTTAACATCATGTTGCTTCAGGCTACCTTTTTTGTATAAGGATTAAAACAAAGGGAAGTTCATTATGCCCATTGAAGATTTTTAACTAGCAAGTTTGGGTAATTGGCTGTTTTATCTTTATCTCAGAGGTCCTATAACAACTACTATAGTTTAGTCTTGGTGATGTGGAACTTTAGCATGGGTGACTCCATTTAGATTTTTGGTCTCATCTGTGGGGGGCCTCGTGCAGGAGATTAGTCCAAAACAACAGCCTCCCATAATTTTTATCTAACAACGGTCTCTCATTCCTTCTGTGGAGTCACAAAGTATTAAGTTCCTGCTCTGTGCACCACACTGAGAGGCTGCAAACTGGGAAGAACTCATTACTACCCAAGGTGGGAATGTGGCAAGGCAGAGACAGTGCCAAGGTGAGGCGGGGGAAGAAAGGCAGGGACAGTCCTCCCAGAGCCTGGCCAGCAAAGGCTTCTCACACCGAGACAGCCAGGCTGGGAAAGACTTAGGGTCCAAGGGGCTCCATGGGAGGGCGTGGGAGGTGGGGCTGGGTTCACTCAGCTGTACAGAGACATCTGAGAGGAAGACTAGTATGACTGTTGGACTAGGACCAGGGAAAAGGAGGAAGCAGGTGAGGTAGGTACTACGGTAGTACTTCCTGGTGTTTTGGGTTAATTGCTAGAGGAGGTTGATGGGATTAGACCCAGTCTTCACTTCCTGTCCCTGCCTTTATGGGCAGCTGTCCCAGGGTCCTGTCTGGCATCATTCCAGCACCAGCACTGCTGACAGACACATGGAAGGAGGCCGGTTGTGAAGACATCACCCTTCGCCATCTGGGACACCGTGAAGACACAGGCAAGCAAGACGTCTCCACTCCCAGTCTTGGCCTGGACCCAACACATCTGCTTTGTGGCTGTCATTCTTCCAGACAGGCTGGAAGCACCATTCACAGGGACAAATACTTGGCTCCTAGTTCCAGGCAGGCCAGTAAACATCTATGTGTCCTTGGGCAAGTCACCTCACCTGTTTAGCATTTTGAGGAGGGTAGGGTTGGACCTAATCTCAAAGGATTCCTCAATCTTCCAACTTTAGGTTGTCCCAAAAGGGCAGAGGTCAGTCTTGTGCAAGAGACTGTTCTCTGAGCCTCACATCCACCCCTTGAGACTCCTCTTCCCCAACACACACCCCTTTCCTTTCCCTGCCTGCACCAGGTCTCCTCCGTGTCACCCTATTAAGGCAGGTCCAGCCCCCATCCCCTCTCACTCCATGGAGACACTTGTCCGGGGGACCCCTCTCTCTCTCTCTGTAAGATGACACCTGCTGATCTTTTCAAACTGGTCAAATGGGCAAATGTGGGGCTCCTCCTGGACAACATGCATTTATTTTTAACCTGGGCTGTTACCCTGTCTTGGCCCTGTCAGTCACTTTAATGCTAGGAATTTCACATGCTCTGACCTTAGAATCTGGGAACTTTTTGGAAGTAGCTGAAATCATAGCTGCTTATGCATTTGTTTATTAATATAGTCACACAACAAATCTTTTTGTGACCATTGTGTCCAAATACTTTACTATATATTATGGGAATAGCAAATTTATTCCTGGATTTTCCAAGTCAGCTTCAGACATCAAATATTTTATTCCATGGTCCCCATAAGAATTTGCAGATGTGTCAACACACCTGTCCTTAATTTTTAATTCAAGAAATATGTTCACCATAGTTGAAGAGGCCCAAAAGATGTATCTGACCCTACTCTCAAAGAGCAAATACTTTGCAGGGGAAAGAAGCCAAGAATGCATGTAGTGCATGTGTGCACTTCGTGGCATCACTGACCACCCACACCACAGGGAACTGCCTGCCTGTGGACCTCCCCAGCTGAGCTGTGAGCTTCCACTGGCAGGGGCTGAACCCAACATATCCCCAGAGCCTGTGCAGTGCCTGGTAGCTATGTGCTCAACAATTCTCATCAAATTGAGACAGGTGGTGCATCTGTTTAGGGGATACAGATAAAACCACAATGGGAGGTCAGAGGAAGGAGACTCAAAACTAACTGAGACCAGTTGCTCTATAGACATTATCTTATTTACAGTTTAATTAAACAACACTGTGAAGGAGGCATTACTATTGCCCCTTTGTGAGATTAAGTAATTGCCCCTTTGTGAGATGACCTTGCCCAAGGTCATTAAGCTGGTCAGTGACAGGGGCCAGATTTGAGCTCAGTTCTCTCTGACACTTCACGGCCATGCTTGGCTGTCTTCCTGTTAGGAAAGTCTTGGCTCACCAAAGAGGTGGCACTGGAAGGAGACCTGTTACAAAGTCACTAAGATAATACACATGCATTGTTTCAGCTAATCCAAACAGGTAGCAACTGCTGGGACAAAGGGAAAATGACCCTGCTGCCTGGGGAGGGCTTCTTTCCTCTCCTGAGCAAGAACCCCCAGCCCTTGGCCGGGTGCAGTGGCTCACGCCTGTAATCCTAGCACTCTAGGAGGCCGAGACGGGCGGGCGGATTGCTCAAGGTCAGGAGTTCGAAACCAGCCTGAGCAAGAGTGAGACCCCATCTCTACTATAAATAGAAAAAAATTAATTGGCCAACTAATATATATAGAAAAAATTAGCCGGGCATGGTGGCTCATGCCTGTAGTCCCAGCTACTCAGGAGGCTGAGGCAGAAGGATTGCTTGAGCCCAGTAGATTGAGGTTGCTGTGAGCTAGGCTGATGCCATGGCACTCACTCTAGCCTGGGCAACAAAGTGAGATTCTGTCTCAAAAAAATAAAAATAAAAACACCAAAAAACCCCAGCCCTTGACTGGCATTGCCCACCCCCTTCCTGTCCAGAGGCCCCACCCTGTCCTGACATCCAGAGTGCTGCCCGCCTGGGCCAGACCCCTGGTTACCGGGAAGCACTGAAGCCAGCTCACAGTGGCAGCGTCAGCACCAGCCAGAGAGACGAGGGCCGAGATCACTTATCTCACCATGGCCTAAGCTGCTGACTTTCTCATTTCCTGCCGGCTCTATTTGCACACCTCCCCGCTTCCTCCAGTGCCCAGTTCACTGGCTAGTGACGCAGACTTCCCCTCTCCATGGTGGCCCTTGGTGAAGAAAATTCTCTGAAAGATCTCTGAGTCACACAGCAGCCCCTTCCCCTCAGTCCCAGGGCCATTTCCAAAACAAGCCCAGGGCCCTTTCTTCCAAGGTGAACCAGGCGTCCTTGAATGACCTTGGGCAGCTCAGCCTCTCAGCCTTGTTTTCCTTGTTTATAAAGGAGGGATGAAAATATAGTCTGCCTTGCCTATTTTCCTACTTAACTCACAGGGAAATGGACAACACGAAAAATCACATTTCAACAAGAGAAAAACCATTAATTTATCAGAAAGCGCAAGGCCTAACCACTGTCATTATTTCAAAGTAGGGGAAGGGACAGAATTTCTCCTCATTGAGAGAGACAAGGCCCTGGGCCCAGCACTCCCAGCCTTCTCTCCTTCCCTTTAACTGCCCTGCAAGCCCCCATACCGGGGCCACGTTTTCTCTTCCCGCCGGGCGATGCCCGCGGCGTCTTGCGCGCTGTGGGACTGCCCTCTGCTGTCCACCTGACTCCTGACCACAGCGGCCCCTCGGGTCCAGAAATTTGGACCGATATTGCCGCCTGGTGGTCAACAGAGGCCTTGCCGCCAAACTGAAGTAGTTCAGCTTTGAAACCGGGAGGAGAAATCTCCCCATCTGGTTCCTGATCTGTCTGCCGGATGCCTGCAGATCTCCCCACACCAGCTCAGGGCTTTCGGAGTAAGCACATCTGGCCATACCTTAAGCCGTGCACAGAAAGCACCTGCGGTGGGTCTGGGGGTAGGGAGGATGGAAAAAGGATGCTTACTAGTTACATTGGCTTTTTTTAATTTTTTTGAGACAGAGTCTCACTTTGTTCCCCAGGCTAGAGTGAGTGCTGTGGCGTCAGCCTAGGGCATTTTTTGTTTTAGTGTTCAGTGCCATATATATCCTCTGCATTTACTCCGCTGTGACCTACTCACAGTGACCCAGCCCTTGGTGTGCCCAACTTATAAAAACTTCTGGCCCCATAGGGCACCCATGGCATTTGCTGGTGATAAAAGAGCCAGTAATACATTTCTGCATGTCGTTTTCTTTTCTCTAGACCTACAGCCCCTTTTGGAGATGAAATCCAACAGGTTAAACCCACCACAGGTGCCTCTGACGGGAGGGAGTGGGGAGTTCCCAGAGAAAAGAGAAAAGGGAAGTTCGGGACAGGCCCAAGAGGTGCAGAGAGGGAGGCAGGAGGTCTCCCAGGAGACCCTACCATAAGGCCAGGCACAATGGCTCACGCCTGTAATCCTAGCACTCTGGGAGGCTGAGGTGGGTGGACACTTTGAGCTCAGGAGTTCGAGACCGGCCAGAGCAAGAGCAAGACCCCGTCTCTACTAAAAATAGAAAGAAATTAATTGGCCAACTGAAAATATATAGAAAAAATTGGCCGGGTGCAGTGGCTCACGCCTGTAATCCTAGCACTCTGGGAGGCCGAGACGGGAGGATTGCTCAAGGTCAGGAGTTCAAGACCAGCCTGAGCAAGAGCAAGACCTGTCTCTACTATAAATAGAAAGAAATTAATTGGCTAACTATATATATATAAATTAGCCGGGCATGGTGGTGCATGCCTGTAGTCCCAGCTACTTGGGAGGCTGAGGCAGGAGGATTGCTTGAGCCCAGGAGTTTTAGGTTGCTGTGAGCTAAGCTGATGCCCCGGCACTCTAGCCTGGGGAACAGAAGTGAGACTCTGTCTCAAAAAAAAAAAAAAAAAAAAAATATATATATATATATATATATAAGCTGGGCATGGTGGCACATGCCTGTAGTCCCAGCTACTCGGGAGGCTGAGGCAGGAGGATGGCTTGAGCCCAGGAGTTTGAGGTTGCTGTTGAGCTAGGCTGATTCCATGGCACAGCACTGTAGCCCAGGCAAGAGAGTGAGACTCTGTCTCAAGAAAAAAAAAAAAAAAGAGACCCTACAACAGAGCCCCAAAAAGAAGTGATGACCTAAGAGGCTTCTCAAGCCTCACAAGAGGAAGTAGACCCAAGAGACACACATTGGAGGTCAGAGAACGGCCATGCAAAAGGAAAGACAGCAAACTGAGCTGCAGCAAGCTCCTGAGCCCAGCAGCCCAAGGCACAGGAAATGGGAGGCAGAACCCCAGGCCCAGAGTGGGGGGCAAAGTGCCAGCCTGAGCCTCTTGCAGCATAGGGCAGCTAGAAAAGAGAGGCGCTGGAGCCACCAGTGGAGGACAGCCATCTGTTCCGAGGGCAGCAGCCTGCCTGGGCCTGGGGTGCAGGGCCCAAGTCCTGACCAGGTACCTCAGCCAGGCCCAGGCATTCAGGGACCGTGCCAGTCTGCTAGAGGTAGCAAGGGCTGGAGACACATTAGTATTTGGGCTATTGCACAAACCCTGTGCGAAAACCTAGCAAGTGAGCATACTCTGGACCACAACACAGGTCCCCATGTACAGCTCGTTCCTAGAACCTATCACTATGCCCTAAATCCCTCAAATGACACCCCCCCTTGTCTGCACCCAGGAGAATGCCCTGGGAGGTGGGGCTACAGAAGGAACTGACTGTCCCTGGGGGTAGGTGGAGCCCAGCAGTGGGGGGACTCAGAGGAAGGCGTGTCAAGGGAGGAGCTCAGACCAAGCAGGGGGTCGGCACTGGAAGAGGGCTTCCTCTGTTCGCTCTGCCTTGGCATCTCATTTTGCACAGAACGTTTGGAGGAGGACACTCAGAGTGAGGGGTTGCCTTCATTGAGGATTTAGAATCCCCTGGGCTTAACAGGAAGTGGGGAGGCATTTCCAGAAGCATCAGCTCCTAGGCATCTCCAGAACCCTGACCAAAGGATGCCCCCAATTGCTGAATAGGCCAGGGGTCCCCTTTCTCTAAAGCCTGCATCCCTCCCTCTGGGGTGTGCCTGCCCCTCCCTGAGTCACCCCAGGGAGAGAGAGGGGGAAAAAAAGGGAAGAGAAGAGAGACATTGACTACAGAGGAAGGAAAAGGAAGCAGAGCAGAGGAGGGAGGAGAGAGGCCACACAGGAGGAGACAGAAGAGAGTGGAGAGGGCAGGTCTAGGGCAGGCCGAGGGCAGCAGATCGAGGGAGGGCAGGCCGAGCACCCCAAGGGGCGCCCAGAGAGCAGGCGGGGGCGGGGAGCCGAGGGGGCGGGCCGGCCATGTCCCACGGGACCTACTATGAGTGTGAGCCCCGGGGCGGCCAGCAGCCACTGGAGTTCTCAGGGGGCCAAGCCGGGCCCGGGGAGCTGGGGGACATGTGTGAGCACGAGGCCTCCATCGACCTCTCCGCCTACATCGAGTCTGGGGAGGAGCAGCTCCTCTCCGATCTCTTTGCCGTGAAACCTGCGTCCGAGGCCAGAGGCCTGAAGGGCCCTGGAACCCCTGCCTTCCCCCACTACCTGCCTCCTGATCCACGGCCCTTCGCCTACCCCCCACATACCTTCGGCCCAGACAGGAAGGCGCTGGGGCCTGGCATCTACAGCAGCCCGGGGAGCTACGACCCCAGGGCTGTGGCCGTGAAGGAGGAGCCCCGGGGGCCCGAGGGCAGCCGGAGTGCCAGCCGAGGCAGCTACAATCCCCTGCAGTACCAGGTGGCACACTGTGGGCAGACAGCCATGCACCTGCCCCCGGCCCTGGCAGCACCCGGCCAGCCTCTGCGCGTTCTCAAGGTAAGAGCAGGTCAGTTCTCCTCCCTGTCACCCCGGGCTGGAGAGAGGCCGCTGAGGGTGGGGGAAGCGTGAGCTCCCCGCTTACGTTGTGCGGGTGTTGCTCTGTGAAACTGACCCACCCCGTAGTCCTCTGTGCTCACTACCGGACCACGACCCCCTTTCCTTCTCTGTGAATTCATCCCACCTGGCCCAGCGCGTCCTGAAGCCCCTGTGACCAGCTGACTTACCCATCTCAGGCCCCACCAGCTTCTCCGCTGCCCACCATGCCCCCTCCTCTTGTTCCTCTGCCGCCCGCCTCTGGAAGAGGAAATGCCTGCCGACCGTAGAACAGGAGACTCGGGATGGAGTGAAGGACAGTGTCTGCAGAGGGTGTGAGAACACGAAAAGGAGTTTGGTCTCAAGCAGGGGACCCTGTGTGTCTGGGCCACCATCTAGCACAGAGGCAAGGCAAGGACAGTTTGACCTGGGAGACAGGAGCTGGCTCTGAATCCAATTCCTTTGATGCCCCAAGTGTGCCCTGGCTGCTGCCGCTCCTGCCCCGCCTCCACTCTGCCCCCAGCCGGCCCTCACCTCCCTGTCCCTCTCTGCTTTCCCCTCAGGCCCCTCTGGCCACTGCCGCAGCCCCCTGCAGTCCCCTCCTCAAGGCGCCCTCCCCAGCTGGCCCCTTGCACAAGGGCAAGAAGGCCGTGAACAAAGACAGCCTGGAGTACCGGCTGCGGCGGGAGCGCAACAACATCGCCGTGCGCAAGAGCCGCGACAAGGCCAAGAGGCGCATTCTGGAGACGCAGCAGAAGGTGCTGGAGTACATGGCGGAGAACGAGCGCCTCCGCAGCCGCGTGGAGCAGCTCACCCAGGAGCTAGACACCCTCCGCAACCTCTTCCGCCAGATCCCTGAGGCAGCCAACCTCATCAAGGGCGTTGGGGGCTGCAGCTGAGCCCAGCTGGCGGACTGTGGGCAGCAGGGACCCTGGCCCGGCATGACCATCGGGGTCCCCACCCTGCTGGGGCTCTAGAGTCCTTCACAGGCTGAGCCTGAGACATAGACCATGGACAAATGGCAGGGGGTGGCAAGGGAGGGCAGGACCCAGCATAATCACTCTGTGGCTGAATAAAATTGCACTGTGACTCAGTGCTGGGCTGTTCGCTGTGCCTGGGCCGTGTGTGTGTGTGTGTGTGTGTGTCCTTGTGTGTGTGTGGCATGGAGGACCCAGGGAACCATGGGGCTGGCTCTAATACCTCGTTTCCATGCCCAGAGGAGCATGTGGGGATACTGACGTGTTGCCCACAGCCCTTCCCAACACACCACACAGCCCACTCTGCTCTCCCCCCACATCCTCACCACCCTTTCTGGGAGCTGAAGGCACACTCCCCACCCCCCACAGGGCTGGAGCAGCCTATGGACACTGTCCTGACAGACACTGTGGCTTGCAGAGAGAGCCAGCACCACGCAGCCCCTTGTGCCCAGGCCTGCTCTCTCTCACCTTGAGGAGTAGGTCTGGGGGCTCCTGCCCCAGGTAACCAAGGGACAGTTCCTGATGGCTCTGCCATATTCACAGTCCCCTAGCTCTAGATCTAGCACTCAATCTCTTCTCCCCAGTTCCACAGCCTCAGTCTACTAGACAGACAGCCACACACACACTTCTCCCACCCACACTCCCACCTTTGTCCCTCATCCCCTGGGGCTCAGGCTTCCTAAAGCTTGAGAATCTGAGTGCTTCGGAGAGGAATCAGTTGGGAAAGGCCCAGTGAAACCCCACATTCAAAGCATTTTCTTGTTTTTGTTTTGTTTTGTTTGGGTTTGGTTTTTTTTTTTGAGACAGAGTCTCACTCTGTTACCTGGACTAGAGTGCCATGGCATTAGCCTAGCTCACAGCAACCTCAAACTCCTGGGGTCAAGCGATCCTCCTACCTCAGCCTCCCAAGAGTAGCTGAGACTACAGGCATGCACCACCATGCCCGGCTAATTCTTTCTATGTATATTTTTAGTTGTCCAGCTAATTTCTTTCTATTTTTAGTAGAGACGGGGTTTCACTCTTGCTCAGGCTAGTCTCAAACTTCTGACCTCTAGTGATCCTCCTGCCTCAGTCTCCCAGAGTGTTAGGATTACAGGTGTGAGCCCAGCCTCAAAGCATTTTATTTTCCATTGAACTACAGAGGCAGAACAGTACAATAACTAAGAGCCTTGGTTTGAATCTTCCTCTGAGACTTACTAGTTGTGTGACTTTGAGCCAGTTACTTCTCCTCTCTGTGCCTCAGTTTCCTCATCTGCAAAATGGGAGTGATATTAGTAACCACCTTAAAGTGTTGTTATATTCACAGAAAAACAGAGCCTGCAACATGGCAAGCATGAATATTTGTTAAGGTTTCATTTTGCTAGATATTGAAAGGGACTCAGAGATCTCACCTAAATTCTTCATTTGGAGGAAACTGAGGCCTCAGAGAGGGGAAGGGACTTACCTAGAGTCACACAACTGTTTGGAGGCACAACCAAAGTTAGGCACAAAAATCACAGATCTCAAGGGTTGCTGATGAGACCTCAAGAGATCATCTGGTAGGCTTTGTCCTCAGACAGGCAAGATAGTGTGAGCCACATTTCATAGATAAAACAGTTGAGGGCCAGAGGGGATAAGAGACATCTTCTGGAGCTCACTCAGTCCTTTTGCCATCTCTCTGTTGTGTGCTGCACCCTCCCCTCAAGGATATACAGCACAAGAGGGGACAGGAATCACATTCAGTAAGTAATCATGAGATGGCCCACAGTGTCAGAGTCCCGGGGACAGCCCGAGCACCAAGGAATAAGTTTCTTTTTCTTTTCTTTTCTCTTTTCTTTTCTTTTCTTTTCTTGTCTTGTCTTGTCTTGTCTTGTCTTGTCTTGTCCTTTCCTTTCCTTTCCTTTCCTTTCCTTTCTTTTCTTTTCTTTTCTTTTCTTTATTTATTTTAGAGACAGAGTCTCACTTTGTTGCCCAGGCTAGAGTGAGTGCCGTGGCATCAGCCTAGCTCACAGCAACCTCGCAGCAACCTCAGTCTCCTGTGGTCAAGCGATCCTCCTGCCTCAGCCTCCCAAGAGTAGCTGAGACTACAGGCATGCGCCACCATGCCCCGCTAATTTTTTGTATGTATATTTTTAGTTGGTCAATTAATTTCTTTCTATTTTTAGTAGAGACGGGGTCTCGCTCAGGCTGGTTTTGAACTCCTGACCTTGAGCAATCCGCCCGCCTTGGCCTCCCAGAGTGCTAGGATTATAGGCGTGAGCCACATCATGCTCGGCCCAAGGAATAAGTTGGGCCTCTCTCCCCTGAGAGGGAGAGAGACTATGTCTGGATCATCCTGGTCCACCCCACCCCCACCCCCTGTGGTAGAGTACAATGGCTCAGGCACCTGTGTGCACCATGTCACCATGCTTGTCTCTCCCAGGACCCAGCCCCTTTCCTGCCTTTACCTCCATGTCTCTCAGGCACTGTCCCTCCTTCCTCCCTGTCCTGGGGTCCCTTCAGTGGAGGGACTGATGGGAGCCTCCTGAGTCTAGGGTGGGGGGGAGGCGGGAAGGTGCTGGAGGCTTTGGGCGTCTGGGAGAATCCTTGCACCTTCCTTTCAGCCCAGGGGGATGGGTTGCACAAGGGGGGTTTGTACAGAACACGGCAAGTGACTCAACCTCCAGATTTCCTCCTCTCATCTCAAGACCACTGCCCTTTGACTTATTTTCAAGGTGTGGGTGACAGGATCTGGGTTGCTTCAGCATCAACCCCAAGCCTCTTTCCCATAGCTCCCCCACCCCATCAGCCCTCAGGGCCAAGTCTGGTGGAGCCTTTCCCCACCTCCCCAGTGTGATCCCAGCATGACATGGGGCAGCTGAGCACGTCCCAATCTTTTTTGTCACATCATGTCTCAGGGAGATGACACTTAGCCGCAAGGTACATTCTCAGAGAGAGGCTTCCAACCCTCAGATGGTTTTGGCCAAAGCAATTTATTCAGTGACTATTTGTTGAGCATCTTTTCTGTGAATAAGACACGACCATTCTCCGTTGATGGGGTAGGAAGAAAAAGTCACTAGGCAAGCATGCTGGACGTCTTCCTCGGCCCCTGCAGATGCCCTCTCTGCCCTTATCACCCCACTGGGTCCCATGCGGGCGCCTCCCTACCCTGGGGTGGGGGTGACACTGGCAGGAGATGGAGGGTGACAGGAGAGTAGCAGGAGCTCTCTCACAGGACCCCCCCCTCAGCCCCTGGAAGGTGGCAATGGCTCCCCCGCTGGGCTAGCACCCCCATAAAGTACCTTCATTGCATTCTCTTGATTGCTCTACCTGAATATGCCCATTGGGAAAACCAAATAAACAAACAGGTAGGGAGGCTATTTTAGCTGGGGTGTTCAAGGGCCATCTATCTGAGGAAGTGACATTTAAGTTGAAACCTAAAAAATGTGGAGGAGGGGGGGGGTGAGCAGGGGGAAGAACAAATGCAAAAGCCCTGAGGTGTCTCCGTGGTTGAGAAGAAGACAGGAAGCCAAGGGAGGCTGGATTGGGGGTAAGACGGAAGGGGACAGGCAGGAAAATGTGTCCTTCCTTCACTCTAGGACCGTGTCGCAAACGACTCTCCATTCCTTCTGCCAGGAGGACAGTGCCTAAGAAGCTAGGGGGTGCAGGGCAGGGTTATCTCTGCACCCCCCACCCCCAGTCAGCTTCCTACCCCTTGCCCCTCCTCTCACCCATGGAAGGGCAGGGAACCAAACCCTGCCTGGAAAAGGCACCAGCGCTAGGGACTCCACTTTTGAAACCAGCAAGCCAAGGTGTGAGCAGCACCCACATGCAATCCTCTCGCTTTAGAATCCACAGCTCAGGCCCACTTTTCCTTCCTGAGCAGAACTGGGGAGCGGGATGAGAGACCTGAGCTGAGACCAATCTCAGGCCACAGGGAAGCTGCAGAGGAGAAGCAGGGCTGTGGGGAGCCGCTGCGAACAGGGAGGAAGCTGCCCAAGGTGAGTCTGCCGAGGTCAGACTTGTGAAAGCAGCCCCCCTGCTCGGTGCACACCTCCCCCCTTCAGATTGCCACATTTCTGGGCCCCCAGGGCCCCCATCCCAGTGTTGCAAGATCCCGGTTGGGGTTGTGGGGTGGAAAGGGGCCTCTTCACCTCCACCCTACCCTGCCCCGAGCCAGTGAGGGGACCATGGGGTGGAGGGGCTGAGTAGGAGAGGCTGAGGCAAGCACAGCCAGGGCTGGTTGGGGGCCTGTGTGCATCCTCTGGAACAGGCCAGTCCCTGCCATCACCCTCACCAACCCCCACCGGGCAGACCCCTCCTCTCAGGACTCAGCAGGGCCGCTCCACAGTGGAAGTGGTCTGGCCGGGGCAGGACTCCTGGCTGGCCTCTGTTGGCTGCCCCATAGGCAGGCCTGGCCTGGCCTGGCCTCAGAGAGCCTCAGTGGCACAGGAGGAATTCTCCCCAAGGGGAGAGCATGGGGGTGTTCAGAGGAAAATGGCTGCAACTTGACTTTATCAACATGACCATCAATTCCGACTTCAGGGAGCAGAGGGTCCTAGGACCTGGGAAGGGGCAGGCTCCCTAGTAGGAGCAACCCACCCACACAGCTAGCTGCAGCCTCTCACTTCTCTTTTAGAAAGTGACAGGGCTCTGAGGTAGGCAGAGGCCAGGCGTGCCTAGAATGGATCCGGCCCCCACGCCCAAGCTAAACTGCACCCTGAAGGCCCAAACTGTCCAACCCCTGTAGCCCCCACACCTAGCACTGTCACTCCCAGCCAAGGCATCCAACCCTGCCGCAATCGGGACGGTTTGCAAAACGCCTGCTAGCTCCCGCTTTGTCACCATCTGAGGTTAGGACTGTACCCAGGAGATAAGCTCAGGCCCCACCCACCCGTCCCCAGCAAGACTGCTGGCCTGCTGCAATCGGGACGGTTTGCAAAACCCCGGCTGGCTCCAGCTCTGTCACCATCTGAGGTTAGGGCTGCACCCCAAGATAAAGTCCAGCCCCGCCCACCAGCCCTGCCTTCAAACCTCACAAGCACCACGGCCCCAAGAGATGGAGTGCCTGGAAGACCACTCGGGCTGGAAGCCTTCCTCTGGTCCAGCACAGAGACCCCTTCTCCCAGGCCCTCCCTAGCCTCGCCTTTTCACACTGCCCTCATTACTGCCCTCTCTCCTCACTGCCATCTACGCTCCTCACCTTCTGTCTTCTGTCCTCACCCTTCCATGCCTCACTTCCCCCCTGCCTTCTCACCACATTCCTCCGTGCGTTCATTTGCTCAAAAAGTACTTATTAAACACCCACTGGAGGCCAGGCACTTTGCTTGTTATAGGAGCTACAGGACAAATGAGGACAGTCCCTGCCCTTATGGGGCTTAAGATCAGTGAGGGTGACAGACTAATACCACAAGCAAATATATAACTCTAAATTGTGGGCAGCACTATGTGGCAAGAGTGAAGGGGTGAATGGTGGCAGGTATTGGCAAGGGCATCCAATTTCAATGTGAGGGGCAGGAAAGGCTTCTTTGAGGGAGTGACATATATCTAAAAGGCAAGTAGGAATTCATCTGGCAAAAAGACGGTGTTTCCAGCAGAGAGAGAAGTATATGCAAAGGTCCCTAAGTGGGTCCTTCCCCTTCACTGATGGAAGGCTGGGCTTGGGGCAGGGCATGAGGGAGGGGCCTGGGGTGAGGAGAGGGGCTGAGAGGAGTCTGAGATGAGACCAGAGCCCCTTTGGGTGGGATTCAGAGCACCAGAGTGAGGACGGACCCTCTGAGGGAAGAGGATATCTCCTGTCTGTAATAAGAAAAAGAGGAAATGGCTACAGACACAAATAAGAATAAGAATATAAAGAATAAGTCTGTAGCAGGCTGAGGCTGTTCTCATCTTAGGGCTTTTATTTTCGCTGTGAAAGAAGAGGTAACTGGCTGGGCATGGTGGCTCACGCCTGTAATCCTAGCACTTCTGAGAGGCTGAGGCGGGCGGATCGTTTGAGCTCAGGAGTTCAAGACCAGCCTGAGCAAGAGCGAGACCCTGTCTCTACTGAAAAAATAGAAAGAAATTAGCTGGACAACTAAAAATATATAGAAAAAATTAGCTGGGCATGATGGCACATGCCTGTAGTCCTAGCTACTCAGGAAGCTGAGACAGAAGAATTGCTTGAGCCCAGGAGTCTGAGGTTGCTGTGAGCTAGGCTGATGCCACTGCACTCTAGCCGGGGCAACAGAGTGAGACTCTGTCTCAAAAAAAAAAGAAGAGGTAACTGAAAGTCACTGAGCAGGAGGGGGCTGGAGGCTTGAAGGTGTAAAATCCTAGTTGCTGAGGGTGGAACAGGGAACTAATTGCTGAGGTTTCTGACTTGGGAGCACCCAACTGAAGTTGATGATGACAACTTTAGAGTGACAACAGTCTGTGCTCTGGGATGATTTCCTCCAGTGGTCCCCAGCTGCTTCGGAGCAAGGGCAGAGAAGACAAATGTTAGGTCCATCTAGGGTTGGGGCTTAACCAGGGACATGGGATGCTAAGAGGAGTTGAAGGCATGTGCGAAGGAGGGGTTGTTGTGGTGAACATGGAACCTAAGGCAGAGAAGGGCAGATGTGAGCACAGGGAGGGCCGGTGGTTCCTCAGTGGGCTTGTAGAACAGCTGCAGTGAGGCAACTTGAGCAAACGAGCCATAAGGAAGGGAGATCCTATCAGGGAGCGGGATGTTGGGTTCAGTTATTTCATAGGTGCTGCAGTTTCTGGTGATGATAAGGCCCGGGTATGCCCCCAGGAGAGGCTTGCTAGAGCAGCGCGGGGGAGAATGTCAGCAAGACAGTGCAGAGGCTGAGGGGTCAGCCTGCCAGATGAAGCGGCCGCATGGACGCATAGATGATGACCCCACTGGGGGTGACATCCTCTCTCCTTCTCCCTAATGTCCTACCTCCACATCTGTTTCTCCCTTTCATCCCTGTCCTCTCAAACACTTGTTTTTATTTTTCTTCTTTTTTTTTGAGACAGAGTCTCACTGTGTTGCCAGGGCTAGAGTGCCATGGTGTCAGCCTAGCTCACAACAACCTCAGACTCTTGGGCTCAAGCAATCCTCCTGCCTCAGCCTCCCGAGTAGCTGGGACTATAGCCACGTGCCACCATGCCCGGCTAATTTTTTTTCTATTTTTAGTTGTTTGGCTAATGTCTTCCTATTTATAGTAGACAGGGTCTTGCTCTTGCTCAGGCTGGTCTCGAACTCCTGACCTCAAGCAATCCTCCCGCTAGCCTCCCAGAGTGCTAGGATTACAGGCATGAGCCACCACGCCCGGCTAACACCTGTTCTTTGTCTAACTCGATTCTCTCTTATCCCTCCACCTGCTCTCCTTATCCCCACGCTATCCTCAGCCCCATCTTCTCTCCTCATCCTCTTCCTCTCCGCATAACCTTACTTCCCCTCCACACCAGGCAGTCGAGAAACGTATTGCACAGTGGGTGACAGCCTGTGCTCAGGAGCCTGCCTACAGGGGCTGGAATCCTACACTGCCATTTACCATCTGTGCACATTGCCTCATTTTGCTGTGCCTCAGCTGTAAAACTGGGACAATAATACTAACCACCTCATAATGTTGCTGAAAGAATTACATGAGTATAAAGTACTTGGACGTGAGGAAAGAGCAAGGAGGTAAGGAGAGAGCGTGAGGATAATCGTCACTTACAGAGCACCCCTTTGTGGCCAGACATCGTTCCATCTTCTTACCTCCATTTCCCCTCCACACCTATCTCATACCTCTTTAGAGAGGAAGAGGCAAATAAGATTCGGCCCCACCCATGGTCCAGCCAGGAAACCAACACAGAAATAAATGCCAGGATAATGTAGCAAGTGCTACTTCAAAGATGTGAACAAACTGCTATTGGAGAACAAAGGATTCACAAACTAACTCTGCCCGGGGAAGCAAAGGAAAGTCTCAACAGGCAGTTAACCTCTGAGTTGGATCTTGAAAGACGAAGGACAATTTGCAGTGTGAAGGCAGGAAAGATGTGTCGCTGCCCACATTGACGTTGGGCCCAGCCCCTGCCCTGGCAGGGTACGCCTACCTCAGTGTGGCCAGGAGGGGGCAGCAGAGCACCAGGAGCCGCCGCAGGCGGGCCAAACAGACCTTGAATTCATCACGCAAATCCTAACCACTTGCCCTCCAGCTCCGAAATCTTGGAGAAAAAGACTAGGCTTATCTTAGAGAAAGAGTCTATTAAAGATTTGCACACACAATGATAAAAGGATAGTACTCCTCTAAGTTGAAAGCGTATATGTAATATGTATTCTTAGGCTGGGTGCCATGGCTCACACCTGTAATGGGAGGCCAGGCATGGAGGATCGCTTGAGGTCAGGGGTTCAAGACCAGCCTGAGCAAGAGCAAGACCCCACCTCTAGCCGGGCATGGTGGTGTACACTTGTAGTTCCAGCTACTTGGAAGGCTGAGGCTTGATCAGCTTGAGGCTGATTGCTTGAGCCTAGGAGTTGAGATTGCTGAGAGCTGGACTGATGCTACAGCACTCTAGCCAAGCAACAGAGTGAGACTCTGTCTCAAATAAATAGATAAATAAATAAATATGTATTCTTTACTTGATTTAGTATTCACTATGAGCCAGACACTATTCTCACTGATTTACAAATATTCACTTACTCCTCATAACAACCCTATAAGTATTAATACAATCACCCCTATTCTACAGATGGGAGAGCTGAGGCAGTCGGCCACAGTTACGTAGACACAAAGTGGCAAAGTGGGTTTGGCTCCAGAGTTTGGGTGTCTCCCTTGTAATGTGTAGTTCCAGCTATAGTTCTTTTTTTTTTTTTTTTTTTTGAGACAGAGTCTTGCTCTGTTGTCCTGGCTAGAGTGCCATGGGTCAGACTAGCTCACAGCAACCTCAAACTCCTGGGCTCAAGCAATCCTGCTGCCTCAGCCTCCCAAGTAGCTGGGACCACAGGCACACACCACCATGCCCGGCTAATTTTTTCTATATATTTTTAGTTGGCTAATTAATTTTTTTCTATTTTTTTAGTAGAGACGGGGTCTCGCTCTGCTCAGGCTGGTTTCAAACTCCTGACCTTGAGCGATCCTCCTGCCTCGGCCTCCCAGAGAGCTAGGATTACAGGTGTCAGCTACCATGCCCAGGCCCAGCTATAGTTCTGACATGTAAAAGTATAAAATCAGGCTTCCCTGGGAAGTCAGCAGCTCTTCTCTAAACACTAGTCCTTGTCTGTCACTAAATGGGTAGGTTGCCTTGAGACAGGTCACTTCACCCCTGACCTGTTTCTTCAAAAATGAAATAATGAGGTTAGGTTCTGCACCTTGATCCATACACTGAGTCTAGGCCCTACGGGCTGTTCCAAGTGCTGTGGACAAAAAGACCAGCTGTGCCAAGTACTATGGACAACCTCCAAGGAGTTCAGAATGTAGAGGGAGAGTCACGGAAGCCAGCAATGACAACAGAGCATAACAGTGTTCTGTTAGGAGCTGGAAAAAGAGGCCCCTCCTGCAAAATGGTTCTCCTCCAGCTCTGGCAGGTGTGGAATTTGGGTGGGGGATGTTAAGAAAGGCCTCCCAGAGTAATTACAGGAAAGGCAGGAATTAGCCAGGCAGGCGGGGAGGAGGAGTATCCAAGTAGAGGAAACAGGATATGAAAGCACAGCAGGAGCAAAGAAAACAAGAGCTCCCCAAGAACATCTTTGAACATCTACTGATGTCCACTTTCAGAGTTTATTTTCCCTCCCCTGTGGGTCCATAAGCAGCCCCTGTGAAGCCTCACAGACCTAACACAACAACCTCTCCTAGGATGCATCAGCAACTAACATGTATTCGTTGAGAGCCTACTAAGAGCCCTACACAGATGCAGGAGATGCCTGAAAGTCTTGCAGTTTGGTTACAGGACGCCCAGTTCTGGCCTCGGGGCCGGTGAAGTGCAGAAGCCTTGTTTGCCCATCTCCGGTGGTGTGGCAGGCAGACATCTAGGAAGCAAAGAATGGCCCCCTCCCCTGCCACCCATTACGCTGACACCAGTCTTTTATTTTGGGGATACTTCCAAGGTTTTCTACTCAGAAAGGCAGGGAAAATGGGATGAGGGATGGGAGAGGGTTAGAAAAGGGCTCCGCCTCGGATAAGGCAGGCTTCTCTTTGCAAAGGTCAGTTCAGGCCTCAGAATAACACTTCCCCTCCCCCAGCACTCCACCTCTGGCACCTCCGGAAGAGGGTGGCTTTGGCCATTGTGGGTCATAGCCAACTTCCTGGCAGGGAACTGTAGATTTAGTCAACAACATTCAAATCTTGAAAAAATAAGCAACAGTGGTGGAGGGGAAAGAGAGAGAGCAATGAAGAGAGGAAAGCCAGAAATAAATGAGCCAGGGAAGAAGGGGACAAGACAGCATCCAGGGCAGGCTCCGGAGAGACACTGAAGATGCTGCTGCTGCTCATGCTCCTCGGGGTTGCTGCAAGCAGATGTCTACACGATGAGACTCAGAAGTCTGTGAGCCTTCTCAGGCCTCCTTTCTTCCAACTGCCCCCAAACTTCCGCTCTTCCTCTCTTGCCCTTCCTAGCTCCGGAGAGCCTCAACCCCTGCGCATCCAAACCTGCTACATAGGAGACCCTACATCAGATGGAGCTTGGGATCTTGGGGGAGGTGGGATAAGAGGGAAGTCTCGAGCCCTGGCCGCAGCGAGAGAGGCCACTCAGAGAATCCAGGGTGTCCTAGCAGGTGAGCAAGGAGACAAGAGGAGTCAGGGAGGGCTGAGGAGTACAGAGGTGTACGGGAGGAGGACCAAAGCAGAAATGGAACTGGAGCTCTCAGGCATAGAGGGGAAATTGACTTCTCGTCTTGTTAAGTACTCCCAGTGCAAGGACCCCTGCTTCTGAGTCGAGACCCTGCACGATACTGCCATGCTGTCTGGGGAGACCCGGATACCCCGAACTACCACAGGTGAGTTCATGTCATTGAACACGTATGTAATACTTTTTTAGGGATACCCATAAATGTCTCCAGCTCACCGACAGATGTTCATTCTTGGCAGGTGCAGCCTCTTGAACCCAGGGTACAAAGGAGAGAGTTGCCTGGGAGCAAAGGTGAGAGCAATTTCTCAGACTTAGGGACCTGAAGATCTCTAGCCTGCCTAGACGCTCCAAGACCACCAGCATCAGAATTACTTAATGTGCTTTTTTTTTTTTTTTTTTTTGAGACAGAGTCTCACTCTGTTGCCCTGGCTAGGGTGCTGTGGTGTCAATCTAGCTCACAGCAACCTCTAACTCCTGGGCTCAAGCAATCCTTCTGCCTCAGCCTCCCAAGTAGCTGGGACTACAGGCATGCACCACCATGCCCGGCTAATTTTTTCTATGTATTTTTAGTTGGCCGATTAATTTCTTTCTATTTATAGTAGAGATGGGGTCTTGCGCTTGCTCAAGCTAGTTTCGAACACCTGACCTTGAGCGATCCTCCCGCCTTGGCCTCCTGGAGTGCTAGGATTACAGGAGTGAGCCACTGCTGCCGGCCTCAGAATTAATGTGCTTCTTTACAATATAGATTCCTGGCCCCACTCTTCTCCACTCAGAAAACCTGGGGTGGGGTGAGGGCAGAACTCTGTATTCTAGCCAGCTGCCTGGATGACACTAAGACAGACCCAAGATGCTCATTCTCCCTTACTCCTAGTACCCAAGTTCCTGCTGTCCAGCCTGACTGCTAAGCTAGATGCTGTTTCACTCTCTGCCAGATTCCTGATGCCCATCTCCGTGGTTATGCCTTGTGGCCAGAACAGGGTCCCCCACAAGTGGTCCAGCCAGATGGGCCTGGGGTCCAAAACACGGATTTTCTCCTGTATATGCAGGTTGCCCACACTTCCAAGTGCCACCAAGAGGTGAGGTTCAAATCAAATCCCTTTTCCCTGCTTTGCTTCTCTTAATCTTTAATCTCATGAGGGTTAGTTATGGAGCATAAAAACAGTTTTTATTAAGTTATGCTTATTTGGGACAACTTGGGGCATGCTGACAAAGTTAGGTAGGGGCTAAACCCCTTCTGAGCCATTCCTTAATACCACTCCTGCAGAATTCTGCAGAGTTTCCTGGTCCTCGATTTTCAGAAAGATTTCTTTTATCTGTGTTCTCCCTGCTTCCCACCCTTCCCCTGTCCCGGCCCATCCACAGCCCTCCATCATAGCCTATGCTGCCTGCTGCCAGCTGGACTCGGAAGACAGGCCCCTCGCTGGTACCATCATCTACTGTGCCCGACATCTCACCAGCCCCAGCCTCAGCCATAGTGACATTGTCATGGTGACTGCTACATGATGAACAGAGAGAAGCACACAGCTTGGGGGTGGGGGGCAGGTCCTTCAGCTTCATGTGAAGTGGAACCTGCTGAAGGTGGAAGAGAAAGTGCCTCAGGCTCTATGAAGAGCTGGCTGGGCAGAGGGGGTATATAGTGGTTAGTCAGACCTGCTACAGATCCAGCCCCTCTCACTTAGCAGTTGTCTGTCCTCAGGCCACACTGCATGAATTGCTCCATGTCCTGGGTTTTTCTGGACCACTCTTCAAGATCTGGCGGGACTGCCCCTCAGGATTCAAAGGTAAATGAGAGGAATGAGGGAGAGGACTTTCCCAATGCCAACCAGTGGGAATTCACTGTCTCCTTACCTCCTTCCTTCCAGTTTTACCTCACCCTAAGTTTTCCTCTTCTCATACTGCTTTCTTCCCTTTCTGTATTCAGTTAGAGAGAACTGCTCCACAAGGCAACAAGTGACAAGGCGAGATAAGTGGGGACAGCTGCTTCTCACCACCCCAGCTGTTAGCCACAGCCTGGCCAAACACTTGGGGGTACTAGGGGTTTCACTGGGCGTTCCCTTGGAAGAAGAGGTGAGAATGAGAAGGCTTTGGGGTAACAGAAGAAAGAGGGAGTAGGTAGGTAGCAACCAGCTATCTGCCACCTCCTTCAGTAGGGCCCTTTGTCCTCACACTGGGAGGCCAGACTACTCCAAGGCTCTCTAATGACTGCTACCTTTGATGGTGCCCAGCACACTCGACTTGACCCAATCACTCTCGCTGCCTTCGAAGACTCAGGATGGTACCAGGTCAACCACAGCGCTGCAGACGAGCTGTTGTGGGGCCAGGGTAAGAAATCAGGGGGAACTGCAGAGGGGCATGCATCGCCCAAGTCAGCTCTAGGGGAAGTGGGTGAGGCTGGGAGGGATTATCTGCTAGGGTACAACTGAAGCTGTAAGCATAGCCAGTGCTGATGTTTGGGGCTTCATTTGTTGAGTACTCTTTCCCTCTCTTCCCACCTGTCAAGCAGGATCTGGCCTGGAATTTGGCCTGGTGACCACATGTGGGACTGGCTCCTCAGACTTCTTCTGTACTGGCAGGTGTGTATGCTGAGTAGGCAGGGGTCTGTACAGCTGTCAGTGATCCTAGTGTCACTGTATCATCCCTTGCACACAGTGGGCTGGGCTGTCACTACCTGCATCTGGACAAGGGAAGCTGCTCCTCAGACCCCATGCTGGAAGGCTGCCGCATGTACAAGCCCTTAGCCAATGGAGTGAGTAGACTAGAGAGCAGAGAACGAAACTGAGTGGGCCTGGGAGTCAACTTCTAAGGCTTCTAGACAAACACTATTCTACCTCCTGCCCTGCCCTTCAGAGTGAATGCTGGAAGAAGGAAAATGGATTCCCAGCTGGGGTGGTGAATCCCCACGGGGAGATCTACCATCCCCAGAGTCGCTGCTTCCTTGCCAACCTCACTTCACAACTGCTCCCTGTAGATGACACCAGGCATCCTTCTCAGATCCCACACCTCAAGGAAGTGGAGTTCACTGGCCGCTGCTACTTGCATCAATGCACGGAGAGAGGTGCATATAAGGTGCAGGTGGAAGGATCACCTTGGGTCCCATGCCTTCCAGGAAAGGCTATTCAGGTGGGTACCCTAAGAGGAATACTTGTGACACAGTGCCAAAAGAAACTGGCACACTTGTACTTTCCAACCTGTTTTGATGTTCATTTTTTATGAAGTACCCACTGAGTCAATAACTCTGATCTAGAATGTACATTTTCCTTAGAAGGAATGCTTGAGCAGATAATTGAGGCACAACTATATCCTGCTATGTATTTCCTTACAGATACCTGGGTACCATGGTCATCTCTTTTGTCCCCGAGGTCGGCTATGTCAGACTGAAAGTACCAATGCTGTTACTTCCCTTCCTGTGAGTCTTTCAACCCAAGACCTGCTATTCCAGCTGTCCTTAGGTTTAGCTGGACCTCCAGGACACTCTATGGGGAAGGAACAACAAGAAGAGCTGGCTGAAGTAGTACTGCAGGCTCTGGTGAGAAGAGGTGGTGGTGCCAGGTAAAGGGATAGTTCAAGCTATTTATACAATGGGCCAGGGAAAATGCTTAGGTTCCTTTACTTCATAATTCTCCTCTGAAGACTTTCTATTTATCTCACACCTAAACCTGCACTGTTTCATGAGATATACTCTTCCAGGGATTATACCTCCATTAAGAGATCCAAATGTCCATTTAGGTGCTATTTCCACAGCCCATCAATTACTACTAGTTTGGTGTTCACTGTGCATATGTGGAAGTCCCCTACCTGCCAAGGGCCTTCAGTTTCTGTGCTGCACAGGGCCCTGACCCTGACTCTCCAGGAGAAACCCCTAGAAGTATATCATGGAGGAGCCAGCTTTACCACAAAAGATAACCAGTAAGATAATATTCCAAGTATTTTTCTTTCAAACCCATAGAGTACAGATGTTTGAAATTGCATTTATTAAGCACTGACTCGTGTGTATATTGTCTTCTGAAATAAATAAGCCTATCTAGGACAAAGATCCCCGACTAACAGGATCACCTTGGGCCCATCATTATGTGACTCCCTCCTCCATACAAAAATGGAGTTTCCCCATTTCTAGGACATAGGGATCCTAGACCCCTTCCTTTCTTAAGGACTACCCAGGGACTGCGTCTAGCTACCTAAACACCATAGTCTGACTCTTCCTTTAAGCCACTTCCCTAACTGGCAAGTTAGGTCTTCTTCCAACAATTTAAGATGCTAGAAGACTTGGATCTTGGTTTTATATCTACTTTGATGTTCTATAATAATTCATAATGATTTCCAGTTTAGCTTAATGCTTGCATGAAGCAGGGCTTCATGAGTTCTATGCATAAAGGTAAAGCCCTTCATTTCCTAAGTCTTTGTATTATTCCAGGCCAAATCTTACCTCCTATGTTCCTAGGTTGCTGGTTACCTCAGACTATAATCCCTCCATGACCCATCTAAGTCTGACCACGGGACTCTGCCTAATGCTGCTAATCCTGGTGGGTGCACTGGGAACCATAGCCTATCAGAAACGAGCTACTCTTCAGGTGGGACCATCTGCCCCTTACCATTTACCAGAGCTCCACAACACAAGGGGCCCAGATGGAGGAATAAGGGAAGTGTGATGTTACTTTCTCCTGAATGCCTCTTTTCACAGATATCAACTTTATACTAGCCTAGCAATGAAAAAAGGTGGAATCTTATGGTTCTGAAGATCCATTTTCTATTTTTGTACAAAAAATAAACCATTCTATCTGTAAAGAGTGTCACTTGTTTTGACATTGTTGTAGAGTAAACTTAGCACCTGTTGCCAGCTCCAAGGATATCACATATGCTTTAGAAAAAAGTCATAGCTGTTTGGATTCAAAAACACAGTGTGGAAGGAGGAGTAACTAATTATCTTCCTTTCTTGATATTACATAATTTTACTAAATCAACACTGGGCAAGCTAGTAGTTGGGATGTCACATAATTATGCTAGGGTCTAATAAGCGTGGAAAACCAGCCATCTGAATCCAGCTAAACTATAAAAATATGGCTTTTTATTGTCCTTCTCTCCTGTTTCTGAGGAAGGAGGGCTCTTCTTTATACACCTCTTGGGCCAGCAGTAGGCTTGAGTTATAATGTTCCTTTTTGGCACAGTTGCAAAAGAAGTCATCAAATTCTTGAGGGTTTGACATCTCTTGGAAAGAAGAAAACCAGAAGACAGACTGATTAGCTGGATTTGCTTAGATGGATAACATTTATACTAGGAGTCCAGCTGACATGGTGTTAATGCTGAAATCACCATGCCTGTGCTAGTCAGCAAGTTCAGCCAGCTGATCAGAATACCATCCCCAGACTTTTAGGTGACACACTTTAATTGAGTTCTCACTGTAGAGTCATGGCCTCGGCTCCATCAGCTGTGGTTATCTTCTTTGATTTGAATGCCTATCAATCCTTACCAACTGTAGCAGCCACTGCTTGGTAAAACTTTGCAACGAAGTCTGGCTCACTGATCTCCAGTTGCCTGACAAATTCATTGCGCTCCTGCTCAGCCCAACCTCGAAACCACTGATCCCAAAGACGTAGCTGGCACTCAAAGATAGAAGGTGGTCGGTTTGCCCCAGACACACTAAGCTGCTCCAAACCATCCAGTAGTGGCTGTAATTTTCCTGGCACTGCCTTAGCTACCAGGTCCTGTAGGAAACGTTCACGCTGGGGACCTGACCAACTGGCAAACCAGTGAAGAACACACTTCATCTCCTGGGAAGTGATGTAAGACATTGGGGGAAGGGAAGAGTCAGTAATATTGTCTGGTACTGAGGGTAAGAGAGAAGGGAAGGATAGTGGCATCGAAGAGGAAGATGATTCCAGTGGCATCCTGAAACATAAAGGCATCATTATACACTCTCTAGATGCACAACCAAAATATAACTTCTCAGCAACAAGCAATCTCTACCAGCATCTACAGAGAAAGCTACTTTTTCTTTTCTTTTCTTTATTTTTTTTTGAGACAGAGTCTCACTCTGTTGCCCAGGCTAGAGTGGGTGCCGTGGCGTCAACCTAGCTCACAGCAACCTTAAACTCCTGGGATCAAGCAATCCTTCTGTTTCAGCCTCCCGAGTAGCTGGGACTACAGGCATGCGCCACCATGCCCAGCTAATTTTTTCTATATATATTAGTTAGCCAATTAATTTCTTTCTATTTATAGTAGAGATGGGGTCTCGCTCTTCCTCAGGCTGGTTTTGAACTCCTGACCTTGGCCTCCCAGAGAGCTAGGATTACAGGCGTGAGCCACGGTGCCCAGCCAAGAAAGCTACTTTTCACCAATCTAGTTTACAGGAAAATAACAGGGTCCTTTAGATCTGTGGTCCCCAAGCCCTGCTGCTTTAGATTATTATCCAACTATCTTAGAGAAGTCACCTAAGAATGACTTCATTTCATATTTGTCAGCCTTCCTTTCTTTCTTTCTCAAACCCATTACTCTCCCTAACCACTGCCTCCTTCCATCTTTCTTATTAAGAACCCCAAAATAACCAATATATTTCTTGTCCATTCTCTTCCTCCTCATTCTGTGTTCTCAGTGGGGTAAAGAAAAAAAGCAACGATTAATGTTGGCCCATCCCATTTTATCTAACATGAAAAAATACACTTTTTAAAAACTAGTACATACAGTTGGTCAGGGCCTAGATACTATTTGGAGCTACCAAGGGGGGGGGCAGAAAAAACATCATATGATGAAAGAGCCTTCTTTGCATGTAGCCTCTGATATATGTGCCAAGAACTTCATAACATCCGTTACCTCCTAATATTTCCTGTAAAGCACTAGGAAAAATCAAAGAGCAGACAGAGTATGTGAGGACTTTACCCAAAATAAGGTAACACAGTAAGAAAACCAGAAGCTTGGGGTTTATTCAAGACTCTGAAAAAACAGTGCAGCAGTTTGTTGGCTTAGGGATCTAATAAGTGTTATACTATTGTATGATAATTCATGTTTTTGAATAATTTTCCTTAATGTTTAATATGACATCTATTGGTGTCCTGCAATTGATTTTGGATCACGAATGCAGCTGAAAGGTCAGCCAATTTGACTTTAATAGTTTTCAGTCCCAGAGTTTGAATCTCTAACAATGAAAACTTTAAACTATTTGTGACCTATTTTATTGTTTGTGTTTGTTTGGCTCCAGGCTGGAGGATTTGCAATGATAAAGCAAGCAGGCCCTAAAAAACTAACATTAGTTCACGTACCAAAACGGGTCAGGGTGCTTGCCTTTTTCAGTTCTTGGGCTACAATAAGCACCTCCTCCTAAAATAACTTTTATTTTCTTATTCGGAGAAAGGAATAACTTTTCCAAAGTCTTGCCACATGGCTTCCAAGGCAAACTCAAATTCAGTAGGAAAATCAGTTCCCAGTCTGGGTCCAAAGATACGGTACTGCCTGTTGCCCACGTAGGAGGCCACCGAGCCTGTTATTCCAGTGCCCCAAAAGAGCAACGAAGCCTTAGATGGGAGTGGCGGGATTCCGAGGACTGGGGGCAGCTGCTGTTTCCGTAAAGGAGTGGGAGGCTTGCCCTAGTAGGGTAACCCGCAAGCACCGAGTCTCACCTGGCACAAGGAGGGACTTCTACCCAGCTTACCTCCCTTTCCTCTCAGAGGGCACCCCGAGATCGTCACAAGAGTCCTTAGACTTCAACTACCGCCGCCGCTTCCATGTTTCCTGAAAACCCAAAGCGGGGCCAGCCGAACATCCCACGCACTTCCGGTCCCGGACCAGCCCCAAACACCCAGACGCCCCAGCGCCTCAGCGCTACGTCCGAAGATAGCCGAATATCTCCGATTATGGTTGTTCCAGAGTCGAGGGTTTCCGAATAGTTTCGACTCAAAGCCTCGGCAAGTCGAAGATAACCGAGTCTGAAAGCAGGGCGAGGGAGGGGTCGCAGAGGCCAGGCGGATGGAAAGAATCGATTGGTGCCGATGTCGAGACGGAAATACCCGAGCAGTTCCGGAGAAACCCGGGGTGTTCTGAGTGGTAATCGAGGGGTAGACTATGGCAGTGGGCGGGGTCAGCTAGGTACGTTCGAAGGGCGTTGGCGGAAATTACCGAAGATGCCCGAAGCCGTCGGGACGGACCCGAGTACCTCACGCAAGATGGCGGAGCTGGAGGAGGTGACTCTGGACGGGAAGCCTCTTCAGGCGCTGCGGGTGACCGACCTGAAGGCCGCACTGGAGCAGCGAGGCCTAGCCAAGAGCGGGCAGAAGAGTGCTCTGGTCAAGCGGCTCAAAGGGGTGAGGAGTCGGCGTTGCCGGGGTGTCGGAGGGGAGCGGACCCGGTAGAGACGAGTCTCTGCCGCGGCGCAGGCGCAGTGTCCGGGCTCGGCGCGAGCTCGCTCAGGCCGCCAGCGCGAGCCTCTGGATCCGCGCGCACGGTGGTTGGTGAGGCTCGCGCTGGAATAGAGATCGCGCCGGTTCCCGCCTTAACGGCAGCAGCGCGAGCCCAAAATGGGAGGGTGCGCGCTACTCTCCCGGAGTGTCCTAAGCTCCTTCCTCCTTCCCCCACCCCCTCCTTGTTTGTGTCTGTGGTTTCGGCGCATGCGCTGCAGAAGGAGTTAAATCCCACTACAACCACCGGCGTTGCTGGCCTGAGGGGGGCGAATTGGGCTGGGTCGGAGTTAGGGGTATAGTTGGGCGGAGGGGTGGATGGGGCTGGTATTCGTCTCCGAGAGAATAGAATTGGGGTGGGGTAAAATGTCCGTCCGCTTGATTAGATTAGGAGGTGAGATGAAGAGAAACCTTTATTTGAAGGGACTTGGTGAGAGAGGTGTTTGATTTATATGGCATCCAGAAGCAATTTGGGTGTATAAGAGTTTGGTGAATATTGAGAGGTGAGGCTTGTTGGTGTGGGTTGGGGATTTTGAATCGGTCTGAGTAGATTAGGGTAGGATTGTCATGAGGTAGAGAGATTGGGTATGTACAGGTTTGGTGTAAATGGAGGGAAGATGAGGTTGTCTTGGTTTTAAATAGAGTTCATCAGGATACGTGGCAGATAGTACAGATTAGGGCTGGGTTGGTTCAGGGGTTGAGCTGGCAGACCGTTGCTTATACAGAAGCTGACAGTTGTATGTGTGTATTAAGTAAGATCACAGTTTACAGGGTCTGTGGTCATTTCCTTCTGTAGCCTTCTCTTTGAAATTTTTATAAATTTGATAAATCTAGGTGCCATTCTGCTGGAAGTTATACAAGTTTATTCAGGTAGATCTAGTCCTGGGTAGTAACTCTTTGACCAAGTAATTCAGTCAGGCAAAAACCAGCAGACCCATGTTGGTTTCGTGTATTTAAAGCTGGTTGAAGTATTTGAAGTAATTTTACCTGCATGGCCAGAAGGGGCACTTGTCAAAAGTGCAGAGGACAGTAGGAATTGTAGTCCTGGTTCTGTCACTGATACTGTGACATAGCCAGGTCACTGATTCTCTGTGTGCCTGCATTTTACATCTGAACATTTAGTAACAGAAACCATGGTTACCTTTAAGGATCCTCTGAAGATGAATGAGAACTGTGTTCGTATAGGCCTTTTAGGTCCCTGGAAAAGGAGTACAGTTTAAGTGTGTATTTAAGTAATTACATTTAATGAAGAGGTTGTGGGACAGGTGGGGGTTTATTTTCTTTTTCCTCCTGGTTTCTGACTTTTGCCCTTCTCTGTACTAGGCTCTAATGCTAGAAAATTTACAGAAACACTCAACACCCCATGCTGCATTCCAGCCAAATTCCCAGGTAAGAAAGAAAGTTTGTTAGGTGGAGTGGGTTGTTTGGATGTACAGACACATGGAATAACATGTTGTTGTATATTTGATGCTTATATTTGATGCTTAATTTCTCACTAATATTTTCTTAAATTCCCTTGGTTAGAAATGTTCTCATACCATGACAGTTGAATTCTAATCAAGTCCGGTTGTACACAAGGGCCAGGAGTAAAGAACTGAATCAGGAGTAAATAAGGAGTTATTAGTTAATTTCTGATACTTGAAATAGTGTATGTAGAAAAGTATGGCTCTGATTAAGAGTAGTGCAGGGATCTGAAGTCATTTATTTACCATTGATTTGGGAAAAGTAGTTGATATTGTTGAATATAGGTATGAAGTAGACCACTAATAGGGCAGTGTAGGAAAATACTTGCTGATCAAGATCTCTTTTGCTTTATCCAGAGATTCGCGGAACCTGTGAGGAAAAAAAGAGAAAAAAAAAGAAAGAAAAAAATTATTTTAATTTTAGAGAAGTATTTTAAAATTTATGTAAAATAATATATTTTTTTATAAATTAATTAAAACAATATTTAAAAAAAAAGATCTCTTTTGCCAACATAGATTTTCCAAGGATTCAATCCTTTGTAAATCACCCACCATTACTAGTGTTAGGTACTAACTCTATGTAGTCACTGTTAAACTTTACTAATAGCTTACTCAGGATAAGAAATTTTACCTTTAGAGGCCTTGGTTTCCTTTGTTTCTTCAGTTTCCTTATGTAATATGAGAAAAGGTTAGACTACACCCCTAGTTTAACTCCTTTTCTGGGGTTTTGCAGAGCTGCTTTCGGGGGCTTCCTAGGGAAGATATATTTTCAAGTAAGCAAGGTTTATACTTCTGTCTTAAACTAGACTTGATCTACTTTTATCTGCTTTATATATTGAGTTTCTGCATAAGATTTCTTTTTTTAATTTTTTTTTTTTTTTTTTTTGAGACAGAGTCTCACTTTGTTGCCCAGGCTAGAATGAGTGCGGTGGCATCAACCTAGCTCACAGCAACCTCAAACTCCTGGGCTCAAGCGATCCTACTGCCTCAGCCTCCCGAGTAGCTGGGACTACAGGCATGCACCACCATGCCCAGCTAATTTTTTCTATATATTTTTAGTTGGCCAAATAATTTCTTTCTATTTATAGTAGAGACGGTGTCTCGCTCTTGCTTAGGCTGGTTTTGAACTCCAGACCTTGAGCAGTCCACCTGCCTCAGCCTCCCAGAGTGCTAGGATTACAGGTGTGAGCCACCGCTCCCAGCCATAAGATTTCTTTTTTTTTTTTTTTTTTGAGACAGAGTCTCGCTTTGTTGCCCAGGCTAGAGTGAGTGCCATGGCGTCAGCCTAGCTCACAGCAACCTCAAACTCCTGGGCTCAAGCGATCCTACTGCCTCAGCCTCCCGAGTAGCTGGGACTACAGGCATGCACCACCATGCCCAGCTAATTTTTTCTATATATTTTTAGTTGGCCAATTAATTTCTTTCTATTTATAGTAGAGACGGGGTCTCGCTCTTGCTCAGGCTGGTTTCGAACTCCTGACCTCGAGCAACCAGAGAGCTAGGATTACAGGCATGAGCCACCGCGCCCGGCCATAAGATTTCTTTTAAAGAAATCATTTCATAGTTAAAAAGCAAAACCAAAAATTTTTAGACTGTACAGTCTCTTAAGGTTCCTTTCAGCTTTTAAAATCCCCTCATTATAGTCACTTAAATGAAAAACCCAGATCTTTGTTTATGCAATGGTGTGCAGCCCCAGTACTAAGTGAATTTCAGGATACTGTGGAAAACAAGAGAGCCTTCCTACTCCCTTGTTATCACCTCATTAAGCTGCAAGTATCATAATCTAGGCAGCTTTCAGAGGTTTAGTTAAGTACTTTAACAAGCACAAGAAACTGCATAAGTTAATCAGTTTAATTATATTCCTTTTGCCCATTTCATTTTAGTCTTTGAAGCTTTTATTAACATAGGATTCTTGCAGCAAACAAGCTTATTCTCTAATATATGAAACCCACACTTCCTCAATGTTCATTGAGTACAAAGAAACTCATCTCTACCTTAGATGAAAATAAACATTTACTATGCTTAGAAAATATGATTAGTAACATAGAAAGTATTAAGTTTTTTTTTCCTTTTTCTGGAGTTCTCTAATAGGACTTGCTAAACAAGAGGGTTCTAGGGAAGAAGACCTGTGAAAAGAAAGCTGAAGGGTAGGAGAGTGACATATGGGAGTCTATATTATAGGGGAAAAAATGGCAAAAGGGATTAACTCCTGGGTTTTCAATACTGTCACCAAGGATTTTTTTTTTCACCTAAAGAAAATAGTTATGCTGAATGACTATCCCTTTTAGTCTCTCAATTTCATAACTTAAAATGCTATATTTGAATTTTGGAGATGTTTGACAGAATGTTTTGTGGATAGGTAGAAATTGATCTTTTGGAGGAACTAGTATTTTTTTCTTTCAGTTTTGAAATTATAGGAAATTTTGGATTTATCTTTAGATAATATTGCAGATTATCTAAAAATTTAGATCAAAAGGCATGATTACTGGAATTTTGATTTCTTTTTAAGTTAACTGTGTACCACCATCACTTTTTTTTTATTTCAAATAAAAAATTATGTGTGGTTCCTTCTTTTGTTACTTTTTATGACTCATAGGGCTATTTATTCCCATCCTCAATATAAGAGTAGCTTAGAAAAGGGCCTTCCAACATTTTAGTTATCTTTCTTGGGTCCAGCTATAAGGGGTAGGCTGTTGCTCCATGGAATTTTCTTCCTTATATTTTCCTGGTTTGCTTTTCTAGACTGTCTTTTTCCATTTCCTCTACACAGATTGGTGAGGAAATGAGCCAGAACAGTTTCATAAAACAGTATCTGGAAAAGCAGCAGGAGCTACTTAGGCAGCGTCTGGAACGTGAAGCTCGAGAAGCTGCAGAACTTGAAGGTAAGCCCAGATAAGTCACTTCTAATGAGTTCTTCATTCTTATCCCTGTCACCGAGTAGC